ACCGTATGATCCAAGACTATACACCAACAACAGTGCACTATTTTGGCAGAATCTATCCAAAAAAACAATTACACAATCTTTTACTTTATATTTTAACAAATTATCTTAATTTGAAAATATCTTTAAACATTTTCTGTCTTTCAGTAGCAGCTTATCTTCAATAGCTATGAGAGCAAGGTCCCTAAATCCCATATTATTCCCCCCTTCGTAACCCCTATATAAGGCCTTTGACCCTAAACCCCAAACCCTGTAACCAAACCTTAAATCTTAACCCTAAACCTGAACCCCTCACTCCTAGACCCTAAAGCTCTATACCCTAGGGTTTAGGGTTTTAAAGTTTAGGAAACCCTGAGCCCTAAACCCTAAACCCCCATATAACCCTTTAAGCATTTTAGCCGTCCTTTCCACGGCCGCCAAGCAGCATCTGCCCCACTGGGCATATTTTGCATGGCAGTTTCCTGTGGCACTGCTACACGTTTAGGGTTTACAATGGTTTATATGTTATAGGGTTTACAGGGTTTATAGGGTTTATAGAGTTTATAGGGTTTATATGGTTTCTAGGGTTTCTAGGGTTTACAGGGTTTACAGGGTTTATAGGGTTTATAGGGTTTATAGGGTTTAAAGGGTTCAGGGTTTAGGGTTTATAGGGTTTATAGGTGTTATAAGGTTTAGGGTGAGAGCTTCTCAAAACGGAGCCATTTTGGGGATTCTGGGTCAGGGAGATGCATCTCCCTCAAGGATTCCATAAGGGACATTTCCCAACCCTACAGTTCCTCCAGTATTCCAGTCGAGTGCGTCTGAAGACGTTTGATCCCTGAAATATGCCTTCCAGCCACCCGGCCCGGCGACACCCAAACATGAAGTACTGGTGTAATTTTCTTACACCAACGGGAAACTGTATTTTGAGGATGGGATCGCTTCTTTCTAACATCTCCGTATTTCAAATAAGTACAACCCCGAAGCTGCCCACATGCAATAACCAGGGCGGGGTTGGTAAACCATTATTCACTTGACACTCAAAAATCTTGAATTACCCTAAGTGTCTCATACCTCGGGGCTTCTGGATTCTGCGGGTAGTATATGAAGGTCATGCAGGATCTTGAATATCAACAGCAGGGCGCTTGTTCTCTGAGGGCAGCGCGGGGAAGTCATTGGCAGTCTCAAACGAGTTGCCGCGACGTGCCGCGTTCGGCGCAGTTGGAGGGGGAGCATTCCTAGAGTGGGCTTCCGGGCTTGAGGATTCTTGGAGTTTAGGATTTACGGTGTGGGACTCAGGGCTCGGAGGGGGATGGCAAATAATTCATACAATGTTGATTTATGTTCGAACAACTAAAAAAATCGAATGCAGAAGGGCCAAGATTCGAAGATCTGCCATAGTCTACATCGACCCGCGCACCTTAACTGGAATCACCGTACCTCTTCTGTATGGTATTCACGAAGTTGGGACCCTCGTATGTCAGCTCAAAACGGTAGGCCACTTGATTTCAGCTACCTGGGGTAGGCTGCTGCTGGAAGTATCTTGAATCCTATATGTAACACGTTCTATAAACGCGCTGCACAAAGAGTCTCTCATTGACAAGGCACCGTTGATGATGTAGGCTGTGCCTTAGCCGGAAATCCGTTAATAGTTAAGCGTCAGTGACATGCACCAACATAGCGAAACCATCAGCCACATACAAAATGCCACCGAGATTGCGAACCGGCGCCCACTTCTTGCCCTTCGAGCTCGCCCGTGTATCCGCCTGGCAATAGGCCGCTGAATCCCGAACAGGTGTTGATTATCTGCGTCGCTGATTTCCTTTCTCCGCGTATGCTGCGTTTTAAGCTGCGCAATAACGACTCTCTTGACGTCGGCACATGCTTCGAAGATTTATATCGAGGTACTCACCTAACCGGATTTTTCATAGCTTCAAGAAAGCCTGGAGGCCATGATCAACTGGGCAGAGCATGCACCAAAGACAAGAACACCGAACAATGGCAACAGTCTAGGCAAAGGGAAGTCTTTCTTCCCCTAAACCCTAGGACCTCAAATCCCGAACCCCACACACACCCTAACCTAAACCCCGAACCACAAACCTAGAACCAAAGCACTGAGCCGACACCCTAAACCCCAATCTTTAGGACCCTCCCCCGAGCATATGCGAAAACTCTGCCTCCGGTACAGACTGCGAAGCTCTCGCCTCACGCACTTGAGGTTTACAGGGAGGGATGGGGGTTGCGAGATAAATGGGTGGGTTTAGGGATCAAGGTGTAGGGCTTGGGGGCTTGGAGTTTGGGATATAGATTTCAAGTTTCGGGTCAGAACATGCGGTGTTGCACTCCAGCTGAAACGGGATCCTTCCATGAGCCACAAATCGAAGTCTTCTCTAATCCCGTCTTGGATGAACAGTCGGCCCTTAATGAAACCAAAAACTGGGGAATGCTGCAGCCTAAATCCTGAATCCACCACCTTCAACCGAAACCCAAGCCACCAACCCTAAATCTTAAAACCCTATACCCCAAATCCTAAATCCTTGGCCTAGGCTGCAAGAACCTGTCAACCCCAAACTCGAGCCCTAAACCCCAAGACATAAGACCTAAACCCTAAGTAGCAGTTTCCATCTTATTTGCCACTATCCCTAACTTAACCCCAATATAACCCTAATATTACCCCACTAGGGAACATCCCCGAAACTGAAATCACAAACCCCAAGCCCAAGGATCCCAACACAGAAGCCCTGAACCCCAAGATACTGAAACCTTATTCCAGGTTTAGGGCTTAGGGTTTAGTTTTTAGGGTCAGCTCATTTGAGCTATAGCCTAAACTCCTTAAAGCGGGGTGAAATAGGGGATCTTATAGGGGACTTAGGAGTTGAGACAATGGCTCATTTGGGTTTAGGCGTTAGGGTCCTGTGAAGGGTAATGCCCTCTTATCCTAAACCCTATGCTAGAAATGACATCCTAATTCCTAAACACCTCGACCTCACGGCCCAAACCCAAGGCAAGCCTAAACCTACAGCATAATTTGCAAACACTAATCCCCAAACCAAACTCTTATTTCAAATCCCAAGTCCTAAACCCTTAACCAAGTCCTTTCTCAGCCCAACAATCCTAAAGTCCCCAAGGCCCAAGTCCTCAAACCCAAGCCCAATCCTCAGAATCCCATATTGACGAATCTGGCTCCTTCCTGGGATATGATGGGCCATCTTTATTCTATACACTTTTTTGGAATTTGGCAAAATACCTAAAGCGGGCTGCCTATCTACTTAAACCTGGGTTGCAACAGTAAATTTACATTCAACGAAGTTTATCTGAGGCCAGCCAACAATGACCCAGGAAGCTTCCCTGGTGCATTGCGCCTCGTCTCCTCTGGTTGTAGGCTCCTCGCTGGGCAGCACCGCTTCAGGTTCCTGTATGACAAGAGCCTAAACACTTTGGGGTTGAGGGTTTAGGGGGGTTTAGGGGGGTTTAGGGTTTAGGGTTTGCAGTTTAGGAGATGGAGGTTGGGGTCCAAGGGGTTTAGGGGTTGGGAGTGTGGGGTTTAGGGCTTACTGCTAAGGGTTTAGGGTGTAGGGTCATATTGTTCAAAGTGGTTACTTTAAAGCGCCGTGCTCAGGATTTGGAATTTACGGCTTGCAATCTTGAAACTGCGAAACCGTCTACAGTCAGCATGGTGAGCCCTCTTTACGCTCTGAACCCGAAACCTTGAACCTTGAACCCTCAAGTCTAAGGCCTGAACTTTAAGCCCTGAACCCTCAACCCCTCTAACCCAAATCCTAAACAGTAGGTTCCATTTTCTTTTCAATATCCCTATAAATCCTATATAGTCCCCATATACCCCTATGGAATCCCTATACCATATACCTATACCTTAAACTTACTTTCCAGCTGAAGTGCCCGGGTTGCTACACCCGTCATCTCCACATCTGCAGCCGGCACCAGTGCATCGCGAGCCTCAGCTTGGCTGTACCACAATAGGGATTATATGGTGTATATAAAGGAGTGTATAGGAACATATATATATATATATGGGGTTATGTAGGGATATAAAGGGATAACGGAAAAGAAAATGAAATCTACAATTTAAGGGGGCTTAGGGATTTTTAGTGCATTCTCATCCGGCCCTCTAGAACAAATTGTTCCACTTCAGGTCTCAATCTTCCCGATACATTCCCAATAGAATGGCCCCCAAACTCAATATGATCTCTAGATGATCCCATATAGCGCCTCTAAACCCTAAACCCTAAACCCCCAGCACCTCTTGACATCTGGTCTTCTTGCACCTTATAGTATTTCATTTGGGGATACTATGGTACCCCAATAATGGAGAATCAAATGGAAAAGAAAATGGAAAATGAAATGGAAACTGGCATTATATAGGGGTTATTTATGATGGCGACCACATTGAATCAACTATCAACTCTGACACTCAGGAGAAGGGGGAGGGAATGCAGTAAGGCACGTCCCATTCAGTAGGGATATGCATGGGGAGCCTTGTAGGGACTATTCTAGGGATCCCCTCCTCCATCTTGGGTATATTAGGGGTCATAGTCAGGACTATAGAGAACAACAATATCAATTCTATCATGTGATTAAGCACCAGGAAGCACCACGAAAAGTTCAAGCAAACAGTTTAGGCTTCGAACCTCTCTGGACTTGTAGGAGTCGCCGACACGCAACCTGAGCAGCAAAGCGCAAAACGCCACTTGGGGGAAGTATGTAGCAGGACCTTTCCTTGTACCCTTGAAATAGGGGTATATGGTCCCTATCTGGGGTATGTAGAGGGTAGATGGAGAGAGTAGATAAGGCATTATGCAGGGGCAGAATATGGTTTCACAGGGTTCATAAGGCGGCCGTGCATGCAGGTTTAATGGACCAATTATCTGCTGGCAACTTTGGTTACGCGTTGGAACCACACTTCGGATCCCCCTTACTGACCTTAACCTTGAAGAACCCTGCTCCTCAACCCTACACCCTAAACCCTAAACCCTAGGGTTTAGGGTTTAGGCGCAAGCCCCAACTCAAATTCTGATCATCACACAGCGTAGATCGCTGAGCTGAGGCGACTGAGGGTGCCGCAAACAGCGCTGCCACACTTGATGCAGGACGACCGGCAACCTCAAGGTACAGGATAGGTTTAGGGTTTAGGGAGCTACTTGTCAAAGGTTCTTGACAGGGCGTGCTAGGGGGATATAAGGTACTACCTAAGACAAGGTACTGTGGATGCTAGAAATCCTGCATGACGTTCGTGTACTGCAATCCCATCATGTGCAAGGCATACGGTCAATGGCGTCATGCAGGATTGTTAGCATAAACCATAGGGTGCAGAGCTTAGGGCTTGGGGTGTAGGGCGTAGTCTTTTGGGATACTATGGTACCCAAGAAAATTCACAAAAATTGCTGCCAACCAGCGCTCTTACCAAAAGAGACACTTCAAGACATGATGCGAACCCGTCATAAGATTCTCAGAGATCTCAACACAATTACCTGCCGATTCTAAGTTATTCTAGACTATCTATTGGAGGAGCCAAAGTGCTTGACGCTCGCATCTCATGACCGACTGATGTCCGTGAATAATACTATGGTACCCAATGTAGAGTAAGTTTACATCACCCTTTTGGGTATAATAGTTTATGCAAAGAACATTATATATCCCAATATAACCCCAACATTAAACCCCTAACCCCATTTTCCATTATCCCAATATAACCCCAATATGATCCCTAGATAATCCCTATATGATCCCTATATAACCCTTTATATCGTTCAGAGGGTAGGGCCCAGGTCGGCTTCTGGGGCTTCGGGGTTGGGGTGTTTTAGGGCAGCGAAATCTGGGCAAACATCAGAAGGAGGCCTTCTCACCATGCAAGTATCCAAAACAAGTGATGCACTTAAGATATCCGATATGACTTATGACTTTTTGCTTGGTGATCCCAACCAGGACGAAAGGCTTGCTTCCATTTTTGTGGACCATACACCGGATTGCGGAAAGCAACACCCCAAAGACCTCATCAACGTACGGACCTTTCCAACAGGGCGCCAAACTTCCGCACTTACATACGCTTGCAACCCTAAATCCCAAACCCTAAACCCTACGTCATGTTCGGGGGGTGGAGTCGAAGGTTTAGCCTTTAGCCCTACACAGAAAGGCAGGAAGCAGCAGCACCAGAAACCAAAGGCTGCGCGAGTCCGGCAAGAAAGATACCGATTCTCGAAGGCCTGCAACTTGGGAGATATAAAGACTATGTGTGTATATATATATATACATATACATGTCAATGCACACGGGGTCAATAGGAGGGGTTTTCAGTGATTAAATGTTTAGGAATTGCAGGTTACAGGTTTAGGGCTTAGCATTTGGAGTGTGGGGTTTGGAGCCCGGTTTTGGGGTTTAGGTTAGGGGTCTCTTGTCAGGATCCTTGTGCCAAGGATCTTGCATTTTGGGGGGCAGTGTTTCCCTTCCATTTCACTGCCATATGCGCGCTTGGCAAGATGGGTCCCCCAGACAGTAGACTCTGAGAACTATTATTGCCAATGCTTGACTGCTGCATGAGACACACATTCCCTGCTCGGATGGTACTTGATTTTGGAGCAAGTCCACTTTTCTACAGTTCAGGTGTAACTCAGATGTCAATACAGAGTTGCAGTAAATAGGGTTATTGCTTGCCCCCCAAAATCCTGCTTACTTGAGGGACCCCTGGAGTAGGTCATATGCTATAGCGCCCTGAAAAGCCCTTTAATGGCCCACTACAACCTTATATAAGCAGGTTCCCGAACCCATTTGTAACCCCAGCGTCTCACAAAGAACCATGGAAGCAGTAGGAAGAGTCTGAAAGGGTCCTGGCCTTCACATTGGAGCTCGTCGCTCAGAGTCTGCACAATTCCGTCGATGCTCCGCCGAAGTGCAGCATAGTCCTGCTCCCACGCATAATATTAGATGCGGACACAGACGGGTACAAATGCTACTCAGAAACGTTTTGCAGAGTGGGCAGGACGTTATGCAAGATATGAATTCGTTCCCTCGATCGGGGCTACATCCTGCTACATCATTTTGGCACCCTTATTTTGGCGAGCCCAAGGATCCAATATAAACCCAATATAGCCCATTATAACTCCAGTACACTATAGTAGTTTCCATTTCATTTTCCATTATCCCCATAAAACCCCTATATATATCTATATATATATATATATATACATACACCCTATCTTCCCTATATAACCCTAGATATCCCTTTAAAGGGACCTAGGACTTCCATTTTCTTTTCCATTATTCCCTATAGAACCCCTATATAAAGCATCAGCTGTTTGCCATCTCCTTCATGGATGCCATGTACGGACAGGTTTCGTTCATCGGAAGCATGCCTAATCTGGGTTGCTGTTAAGGAACTTAAATTAAGATACTATATTGGGGAAACCCTATTATTTACTATATATACCCATTATGGTAACTTAAATTAAGTTCCTTAACAGCAACCCAGTAATTCAGATTTGGGGGGCTCCTGAAGAGATTTGGGAAGGCTCTTGAAGACCTAGCATTCCAACATTAGGGAACTCTTTTTGGGGGGGTCCCCATTATAAGGATCGTAGCTTTTGGGGGGGTCCAAATTTGGGTCCCCTTATTTTGGAAAACTACCATCTGGGGACTTTGGACTATAGGACGTTCAAAGAATTAAAAGTGATGTTCAGATCGGCCCAGGGTGCAGGCCGCATGGACGTCGCCAGTAGTTGTGACCATCATGGACTCTGCAGGGCAGCAGGAAGACAGCGCGTACAGAATCTGCCCTTCCACTTCCTGCAGGTTTTGAGAACTATACAATTTGGCCGCGCATTTTAGGGGGGCGAGGTTCTGAGATTAAGGGTTGCATCAACCCCACGTCCGTCCGGCTGCCAAATGACCAGCATGAATCTTTTGTAGGGTCACTCGTCCCAACAGCGCTGACCCCGGGGAGGATCTAGAAAGCAGATCACCCTCATGGATTCCTAGAAACGATCAAGTAGTATAGGCTACTATATGGGTGCTTTGTCAAAATTATGGCCCATTTTCGGATCCCTCTTATAATACGGCACCTAATATCTTGGGGTACCCAAAAAAAGGGATCATAATTTTGACCACCACCCATATAGTATAGCCATATAGCCCCCAAACTACTATAGTCCTTATTATTGGGACCCTTAAAATGGTACTCCTGGGAAACTCCCATGGGCTCTACTTTCTAGATCCCCCTCAGGGGTCTGAGAGGACATGGCAACAGGTTACCGGCCTCAGCCTCGTGCTTCACGAGGATGCCAACAACCTGAAAAGATGCTGGTCATCAGCATGTAAAATAACGGAAAAGAACATGGAAACTACGATATTACTTAGGATTTAGGGTTTAGGACCCCAAAAGTATGTTAAGTAATGGCCATGATGGCTATTATCAGGGCTGATAGACCACCAGAGCAGTTTAAATCCTCCACCCTGAACCCACCAGGGGAGTTGGCTTATAGGGGTCTTGGGTATTTGAACCTACCAGGGAGTTGGCTTGTAGGGGTCATAGGTCTTTCTATTGGCCTCCACCATTCCCTGCTTAAGCCCCTGCAAGGAGTGAGCCGCTGACGGTGATGTTGGTCTCAGACTTCAAGAATGCGGAGGCCATCTTGGAAGACGACTGTTCGTTTTTGCCTGGCCTCCGGGGCAAGCAAAACCCTCAAAATGGGCAATATTAAACTCAAGGGGCGGAGGGGAAATCTACAATGGTCATCTACATTCATATACGGCTATACACATATATACTCACAGATACACGCGTGTATACCTCTACATAGGGGTTATGACATCTACATGTACGCGTATGTGTACACATCGAATATCAATTTGTACACATACCAAGCATTGCGATCAAATGCCACAACTGTTGAGTCTGCGGAGGCCAAAGACCGAGCCTTCCATCTGTGACCAGGATAATCATGCTTGAGCCTTGGTCCCACGTCTGGGCATTGCTGGACATTATCTTCAAGTTTTCTTTGACTGAAACCCACTACTAAAATCTAGGCTTACAATTTGTAGTGTTTTCTCAATAGGGAAATAAACACCTAGCCTGCAACCGAATCGCTAGACTTAGACTGTTGCCCCGTTTACCCTAAACCCTATGAACCCTATGCCGCTTACAGAGCTAAGGGCGAAAGGCCTTTGTATGCCTGGCTCGTAAGAGCACAAGGGCTGGATTGGCCATACCTCACCGGGAGTTCCCTTACCCCCAAGATATGACAATCCTTATTATGGAGACCCCTAAAAGCGGCCATTCATTCTCTTGGATCCCTGAACCAAATAAATCCCCGTAGTTATTTCGGACCTGTATTAGCCATATCCCCCCAAAAGGGACTCTCTAATTTTGGAAACCTCCATACTTGCCAGATCCAGGCAAGGGGCTGGAAAGCTCTTCGCAGTTGGGGGGGAGATTCTCTGGCGGCTGAGGCGGCGCTGCCATCAGCATGCCTTGCTGGTGCTGGAGGAGCGAATACAAGGAACATGGTAATTCCCCAAAATAGGGGGACCCCAATATGGACCCCCAAACACTATAATCCTTTTTATTATGGGTGTCCTCCAAAAAGTACCCCTAATTTTGGGAAACCCTCATATCAGAAGGGACTATGTAGGGACTACTGTTGGGATCCACCCCCTCACTCCCCCTTAAGCACCGGTAAGATGCCATAGGCACCACCGACGCAGCGGTCTTTGGCCTCCTGCCAAGCGTGAGGGTTCGGATTTTAGGGCTTGGGAATTAGGATTTGGGGATATGGGTTTAGGGGTTAGGGATTAGTCATGTGGAAGTTGTTAAATGGCCGCCTATTCTTGCCTGACATCCCAAGATCTCTGATGAAGGCCCATGTCTGTATGCGTTGATGGATAGATGGAGTGAGACTACCGTGCCCAAAGAAATCTAAAGCCTAAACCCCAAGACAGTAAGTTGTAAGACAGAGCCATGAGTTCGCACAATTGCGAATGGCTTAGGCTTTAGGATTGCATAGCTATGCTTGGGGAGCTTAAGAACCCCAAACCCTAAAGGGTTTAGGATTTAGGGTTTAGGGTCTGCACCCTAAACCCTAAACCCTAAACCCTAAACGCCTTGACAAATGTCTGGCATTTTTTGCGGCCTGGCCTCCTCTTTGGTGTAGCTACCAAAGGAATTCCCGCACAACGCCTTGGCCGTCTGAGTGCCGCCCCTTGAGGCCTTGACGCCTTCGGGGAGCGCTGCAAGAGGAGATACATCTTCACTCCTGGGTTGTCTAGGGTTCAGGGTTTGGGCTTCAAGGTTTACGTAGGGTTTAAGGTTTGGGATTTAGGGTTTAGGGTTTAGGGTTTGGGGTTGGGGGTTGGGGGCTTCTTGGGAATTTAGGGGCACGTAGGGATTATCGCAGGATTAGGGCTGTAGAATTTTCACTCGTGGTTCATACGTAGGTCATAAGCAACGTTCCATGTGTTTGTTGTTGCTGTTGTTCTTTTTTTTGGTGGGGGGGGGGGGAAGGTTATACAGCCTATAAAGACGATGAAGATTACATCTGTATAGGGTCATGGGTTTAGGTTTTACGCGCAGGGCCTAATAATTGGGATAGGTTCTTGGGGACGGATCTCAAGGGATGCAATATCCTCCATTCCAGGTTGGGAATATCAAAGCACAATTGCTTGTGCATGGGAAGTTTTGAGTGAGTACTTAGGGTTTCATGGGTAGTCATAAACAGGATGTTATACATGGGATAAGCCTGGCTAGAAATCCAAGTTAAAGAACTTACACCCCAACTATACCTATGGACCTTCAAGCACTGCTAAAAATTTGTCTTGCCCCTAACTGTGACCAAGAATCACAGGGAAGATGTTCTGGAAGTCGCTTGAGAACTGCCCCAAGCCCGCACGAAACTGGGGCACGGAAGCCTAAGCAAGACTTGCCTTGCTCAAACAAGAACTGTCAAAATGATGATGGCAGATGATATCTAAGACTGGAAGAGGTTGGGGTACAGTGCATAAAAAAAAAGCAATGCTTCGGAGCTCAAGGGGATTATGCCACATAATGCTTTCTGACTTCAGCTCAATTTGCCCTAGAAGCATTCAATTGAACAGCAAGATCTCTCGCGAACAGCAGGCTCTCACGCCAGTCGCTGTCAGAGACAGAGCCACTGGCATCCAGCACCTCAGATTGTTGAGGTTCTTGGCTTAGGGCCCAGAACAAGATAAACATGAAAAGCAGACTCTTGATACAAAACCCGTCTTTAAAGGCAACTTCGAGTACAACCCGGGTTCTCAGCGTATGGTTCTAGGGTCTAGCGTTTAGGAAATGCCCAACAACTCACAAAGCTCCTCGTATGAGGATTCCGCAAAATGAAGGGGGCCCTTTCTGGGCCGAAACGGCTATATGGTTGTGATGAGAGAATCGTCTGAACACGGACCCTGTAGGGCTTCTTTTTTTTGAAAAAGACGAGGATACCAGGGTACATGCCTTTAGTCTCCAAATGAACAACGCAAATATTGCCAAACAAAGTTGGCTGATGCCAACAGACTACTTGGGCCGCTATGAATGTCAGGACTCTGTCATTGCAGGGTGGTCGCCTGTCGGCTTGCATGCCTTTTGCCTCAAGAAATAGCACATGATAAAGCAAAGACACCCGACACCCTGAACCCTAAACTTGAAGCTTGGAGCCCTAATGCCTCAACCGTAATCTCTAAACCTTAATCCCTAAACACTTCTCCCTCAACCCTAAACTCTAATGCCCAAGGCACCAAGTAGATGTCAAGCGGGGCAATGGCCTGCACGGCCTCGTACACCTCCACAGCAACAAGACGGGAGTGTCAGGTTTGGGGCTCATGGGGTGCAACCAAGCAAGTCTTACCTCTTGACCCCCGAAACACAGGATTTAGGGCTGAGGGGCTGCGGGTTTAGGGTCTAGAGGCTTAGGGTTTAGGGTGCCTTGCTCTACAGAAGCATTGAAGCCCCAAATGGGCCCTTTGTAGGCTGTCCTTAACAGCGGTGATGCTGAATTGGGTTAGAATCAGGCCCTTTGATTGCCACACCCTACAATCCCAGCAGCATCCTCAGAAAATCTGGCCAGAACTCCCTCTAAATGCCGGCATGAGCCTGCTACGCCCTTTGTAACCCCTACACCCTCAACTCCCTAACCTGAAATTCGGAGCGTTTGCTTCACGAAGGCTAAAGCCTGATCACTAAGCCCAAAATCTAAAGCAGGGCCTTCTCAACAGATTTTGGCCGCAGCACCAGGATGACCAGAATGGGAAGCAGAATGCCTGTTTGTTAGTTTACCAAATCTGGGGTTCGTGAGGTTCATGATGTAGAGTCTACGCTTGAAGGTGTAATTAAGTTGTGCGACTCCGGGTTTGGCGCCTTTGTACGTTTGGGATGTTGAGTTTCGGGTGTGGGGTCTAGGATGCTTAGGATTCAACACAAAAAACTCTCTAAAAAAAAACGAAACCCCAATCCCAGCCCCAAAAACCGTTAACGCTAAGTCCGACATCTAAACTCCGAAACTCTAACCGCAAAAAGGGCGCCTGTGGTGGCCAAGCCGATGAGGAGCCAAGCAGCCAACTGCTTGCTAGAGGCCATTGCGCACTCACAGGCTTACACGGTTTAGGTTGCGTTACCCCCCCACCCCACAACAATAGTGTGGCATATTTCGCGTATGTAAGGACTCTACTATGATTACTAGTATCCTCTGTGGCGGAGCGGGCCTTACCCAAGGAAGAGGGTTCAGAAGCAGTGTAATGGCCTACATATGCCCACCCCTTTAAGGGACTACGGGGGTGGCAATCTAATATGCGGCAACAATAAGGGTAGTAGCGAGCATATTGCCTTTGAACTACAGCAAATAACCACCATAAATAACCACCATAAATAAAGACAATAAGAATGATAATACTCTTACACCCTAAACCCTAAATACTTTCTTCCATGTTCTTTTCCACTGCCCCTATATAGCCAAAGTTGGAATAGGACTAAGGCTGAGTATGAAAGATGCCGTCAAAAGAAAACGGCCTGCCTGCGGCCCAGTTCTATACATGGTAGTTTCCCTAAATCAGGGGCCCCAATGTAGACCGCAAACTGCTACAATCCTTATCCTAGGGACCCACTTAACCCTAAACCCTCAAACCTAAACCCTAAACCCTAAAACCCAAACCCTACACCCTAATTTTAGGAAAACCCTCTCATGGCCTCGAGCTACCTACCATCCCTGCTCGGTGGTAGCCTCAAGCCGGGCTAGCATCTGGATGACTGACTCGCTCCAAACTCGGGGGGGCGGGGGGGGGGGGGTGTATATAGGGACTCTTCATATATGTATATATCTATATCTACATGCATACACACATATATATATTCACGTAGACGCTTATTCATTACATCTTCCCTATACAATTCCTATATAACCCTTCCCAGGTCCCGCAACAATTGGCCTGATAGGATGATGCACCATGCCATCCACAGCTTGGGATTTGCCATTTTCTTGTACTCTGGATTTTGGGTCCTTGGTGTTGGTTCAGGGTTTTAAGGTTCAAGGTGTTAGGGTTTTGGGTTTTAGGGTTTAAAGTGTTAGGGCTATTAGGGTTTGAGGGTTTGGGGTATTTGGGTTTGGGGTCCTTCGGTCCTTGGCATGGCAGGGGAGCGAGATCAACGATTCGTTTGATAGAAGGGCGATGGGGTGACTACTGTGGATATTACTGACTATGTGGGAGTGCTCGTTCAAGAGCAATTGCCCCTATACCACTTACTCCAGCATTGCTCTCCACAAGAAAGACTTCCACAAATGCTTGGCAATGACAATAGCTAAGGCGGCATGTGTAGGCAAATGAAGTGGCGAAGGGTCAAACGGTTGAGAAGCACACCATGTGCATCGCTGAACCAGATGCACCATAACTTCGGAGACTAAGTCCAATCAGAGGGCGCGCCGAGCAGCTCCAGGATCAACAACAAGTTGACCCCAAACTGCAGCAAGCATAGCCGCAGCGCAATTCGCTGGATAGCATGGTAGCAAAACTCTCAATCCCTAAACCTCCCAAAGCCCCTACACCCGGCAAAGCCCTAAACCCCCACCAAAAGCCCTAAACCCTAAACCCACCAAAACCCAAAAAACCCCCCAACATACAAAAATCTCAATGGCGCACAAGACTCATGTTCACCACAGCGGCAAGGTCGCCTCCCCCGCCGGTTTGTGACATGATCCTCTTCAACCTGTGCCTTGTCTTCCTGAGCTAGGGTTTAAGGGTTTAGGGTCTAGGGTCTAGGGTCTAGGGCTTAGGGTTTTAGGGCTTAGGGTTTAGGGTATAGGGCTTAGGGTTTTAGGGTTTAGGTAGGGGTTTAGGGTTTAGGGTATAGGGTGGGTTTAGGATAGGGATAAGCTGGGGCTATATGAGCTATACGTAATCTAAACTCCTTAAAGGGGGGTTAGAATATAGGGGATCATATAGAGGACTACTATAGGGCTTAATAAGGGGAATACTAGAAGTTCAGACTATGTCTGATATGGGGACAATATGGGGATTATGTAGGGATAACATACAGAGCTATTATGTAGGGATATATGGGGACCCGGGCCAGCAATGCTGTTGATGACCCCCTTTTCTCTTGGGAATTGCTGCTATGCCGACTGTGGCTCACTGGGGGTTAGTAGAGAATAAAGGAATAGAGTTACAAGGCATGTATAGGGATTATATTCCCTTATTCCCTACTAACCACCAGAAAGGTGATGCTGACAGCGAACGCAGCTGATGGCATTCTTTCTTGAAAGATTCACGTATACAATGCTAGATGAAGACTTTACCTACTCTTGCCCTTGTAGAAGGGTCATGCCGCAGAACCGGCACGAAAGGTTTGGATTCCAGACTCCGCAGCTTAAATCTGGAGGTTTCCAAGCTGCCGCCCAGTTCAGCTGCATGTATTTTGTATGCATACTGCTACGCCGCATACTAAAAATCCTGCATAATTCTGGGTATAGGAATCAGTGTACAATAGTATACCGAGGTCATGCACGATTTTTAGAGGGCCATCTGATCGAATCCAAGATGCTAAAAATGCCTAATGGGGACTTGAGAACAAGGACCCCCTAATTTTGGGAAACTCATCGTCGCAAAGTCAAGCACGACCGAAAGCAGAAAAAAACACCAAAAAACTTCCTGCATACCCTTGGCACATACCCTAGGCGCATACCCCAGGAAGTTAAGGGAATGTGTCAAATTGTCCCTGATATCCTCGTAAAACCCTCAACTCGGGGGCCCCCTAAGGTTGAGAGGTATGGGCTTGGACAGACCTCAATTGCAATAGGGTTTAGTAGGGTTTAGGGGTTAGGGTTAAGGGTTTAGGGTTGTTGTTCAAACAACTGCCCCCAAAATGGCCAAGGTGGGTTCCCTATCTGTTTAGGATCCATCCCCATCTATACAGGAATCACCCTATTTATGGAAGCTACCGTATGTCCCCCTATATATACCCCCTATATATATATATATGGTCTCATATGGGTATCATCCTCAAACCCTAAAATTGTCAGAGTTTCCATGTTCTATTCCATTCCATCCCCTATATACCCCAGTATTGCTCTACACCCTAAACCCTCAACCGAATATTACCCCATTATTGGGTGCAGAATCTAGGGTCAAGAGATTATAGCTCAAAATCCTAAACCCTCATACCTCTACAGCCCTTTGAGGGGGGGGGGGGGTTCACATCATCTAGCGAAGGTTCGTTGCTCGAACTGCATTCAGGTCCAGCACCAGCTGTTGGCTTTCTCCTTAGCTCTGGGAAAAGACAATGGAAACTACTTTTTAGGGCTTAGGGTTTAAGGAATGAAAAAGAAAATAGAAACGACGATTTAGGGCTTAAGGCTTAGGGAATGGAAACGAAATTGGAAACTACTATCATGAAGGCTCAGATGGAGACATCTGAACATGAAACGGACAACTAGGGCTATGTAGGGATATCCTGAGGAAACATGTTATCTGGTATTATAAATAGGGGTTACCATAAGTATCTATTTCAGAGGTAAGTCTCCCTCAATGTGAGACACGATGAACTGCGCTCGACTGCGGCTATGACCAATGAGCAGCGTGGCCCAGCAGATGACAATCACCTCAACGACTGTCAAACAGATGCATCTTCAAGGGCCAAACCCTAATCCTGTTATAGCATATTATATGTTATAGTATACTATGGTCTATGATAATATATAAACCCTAAACCCC